TGTGGATATCTCCAGGGCAGTGGTCCGTAGTGAGGGTTTGCCCCCAGGGGAATAGCTAGCAATTTCTGGAGATATTTTTGGTGGTTCTAAACGCCCCACCATTTTTGGTTGGGGGGTGCTCCCACCTAGAGGGTAGAGGCCAGGGACGCTGCCAAAGGTCCTACAGGACACGGGACAGCCCCATGACAAAGGGCTACCTGGTCCGAAAGGTCAGTGGTGTTTGCTGTTGAGGAAACCCTACTCTGAGGGTCCAGATATTGAAAAAGCTTTATTCTCACAACCACCCTGTGAAGCGGGGATTATTGTGCCCATTTCACAGGCCAGGGAATCGAGGCTCGGACAGCCCAAGTGTCTCATCCAGGACACACACCTAGCATGGGCTCAAGCCCTCTATCACCTCACTCAGAGACCCAGAACATTCCTGCCCCTTCCTGCCTGTGGCCTCTTCGTAGTCCTTGAGGACAAGCCTTAGAGGCACCTCCTCCAAGAAGCCTCCCGGACCACTTGTAGCAGGGAGTGGTCTCTCCCTCGTGTAACCCTCAGCACAATCGGGATATATGTGGAAACACGGTGTTTCACCCCGGAAAAGTGGGGTGTCTAGGACCCGGGAAGACAACCAGATCTGGCACTGAGCAGCTGCGTGGCCTCGGGCCTGTCATTTCGCCTCTGATTCTCAGCGTCTGCATCTGTAAAATGGGGATAACCACACCCCCTCGGCAGGGCTGTTGAGAATTAATGAGAGCAGATGTGTGCTGAGCGCAGGCTCTGACACATAGTAGGTGCTCCAGACCACACCCCCTCGGCAGGGCTGTTGAGAATTAATGAGAGCAGATGTGTGTGTGCTGAGCACAGGCTCTGACACATAGTAGGTGCTCCGATAGGAAGTTCTCTGGTACTTTGTGGGATGTCTTAGCTGCCCATCAGGCTAGGAGCTTTCTGAAGGCAGCAGCAGGCTTTGCTCAACCCACTATTCCCGGCAAGATGGAGGGTTAGCATTTGTTGGTTGCGTCAACACAGCGACATGATAGCATTTATTGGGATTGAGGTTCTCTCTCCAAGCGCAGCACCAGTACCTGTGGGAGAAAGTTCAGGGTTAAGGACAGAGGACCTGGGTCTTTGTAGATATTCAAAAGTAATTCAAACAAATGTTGGCTGAATCAGGACATGGATGGATGGATGGATAAATGCTCTCTCCAAGCGCAGCACCAGTACCTGTGGGAGAAAGTTCAGGGTTAAGGACAGAGGACCTGGGTCTTTGTAGATATTCAAAAGTAATTCAAACAAATGTTGGCTGGATGGATAAATGGATGGATGGATGGATAAATGGGTGAATGGATGGATGAATGGATGGATGGACAGATAGATGAAGGATAGGTGAGTGGGCTGATGAGGGATGGATGAGTGGATAAATGAGAGGAGGTGGAGGATGAGTTGCAGATGAAAGGTGGTAAGTGGGTGAGTGGGGGCTGGGTAGATGGATGGATGGGGTAAGCAGAAATGGGTGGGAGGTAGACATGGGTGGATGTGGAATGAGTAAAGGATTGACAAGAGGGAGCAGATAAATGGATGGATGGATGGATGAATGGATGGATGGATGGATGGATGGATGGATGGATGTACGGATGGATTGATGGATGGATGGATGGATGGATGGATGGATGGATGGATGGATGGATAGGGGGTAGAGGAATAAGTAGACTGAGGCATTATTTCACTTAGTGAATCTTTACTGAGTATCCGCTTTGTGCTGGAAGACATTATGACACCGAGACAGACAAGCTCCTGCCCTCCTGAAACTCAAGTGACAGATCATAAATGACTGGCTGGCCGGAGGCACTGTCTCCATCGACAGGAGAGAAAACTTCAGTTCCAAGAAGGAAGTAGGCCCCTCGGTCAGTCATCCAACCTTCCCTGGGCAGGCCCTGGAGCAGAGCGGGCCGAGGGCATTCAGGCACCGTGGCAGAGGGTGGGGGCTGTGGGGACAGGCTGACTCTGTGGCCCCTTAAAGCCCCCGAGGTGGACAGTGGCCTTCCCCCTCCGGGGAACTTGAGTCCAGAGAGCGAACTGACCTTACCTGGCTCCTCCCTCCCGCCCAGTGGGGCACCTTTTCTCTGCGGCTTTTCCCAGAAAGACACCTGCCAGGCGGGTCCAGGGAGCTGCCTCCTGGCTCGGCTCACCAGGGCCTGGGGACGCTGCAGCTGGGTGGTTCCAGGTCCTGCTGGGGGAGGAGGGAGACAAGGCAGCCAGGGGACTTTCCCAAGAGAGAAAGGCAGCCAGCCCATGACTCAGGGAGCAGCTGCTGGGAGCACCCCCTCCCCACCCCAGTGCATGTTTGCACATTCACATACATGTACCTGTGCATGAGCAATGTGTGTTTTGGTGGAGCCCAGGCACCAGCTGGGGCCTGCAGGGCCCTGTAGAGCTAGACAAGATCAGCTGCTCTCTCTACTCTGCTGTGAAGAGAGAAAGGCAGCCAGCCCATGACTCAGGGAGCAGCTGCTGGGAGCACCCCCTCCCCACCCCAGTGCATGTTTGCACATTCACATACATGTACCTGTGCATGAGCAATGTGTGTTTTGGTGGAGCCCAGGCACCAGCTGGGGCCTGCAGGGCCCTGTAGAGCTAGACAAGATCAGCTGCTCTCTCTATTCCGCTGTGTGTGTGGAAGTCCTGACTCTGGATTTTTGCAAAACCTTCCAGGGTCTTGCTTCTGCTGCATATGACCTTGACCCAGAACTGAAACTCAGTCTCTTCCTCATTTTTTACATACCCCTGCCCAGCTTACACCAAACAAAGAAATTTTACTGAAGATTTTAGCGGGGGGAGAGGGGGAGTTGGGAATGCAATGCAAACCACTTCAAATGTTTTATATAAAATATTTGAGTTCTCAAGTGTCTGTTGAGTCACCCTCATCCTGTCTTGGGGTTTCTCTCTGACTCCATGTGGTTGGTAGCCAGCCATCTGCAGACCCCTGCTTCCCCAACTCTGCTCCCACCCCAGGCACCCCCTTCCTCACAGAGAAAGGAACTTCCATGTGAGAGAGAAACAGTAATCGGCTGCCTGCTGCACGCCCCCTACTGGGGATCGAGTCCACCAACCTGGCATGTGCCCTGACTAGAATCGAACCCCGACCTTCTGGTGTATAGGACAATGCTCAACCACTGAGCCACACCAGCCAGGAGCACCTGGTTCTTAATGACAGAACAAAGGATGGTCTACAAAGCAGACCCCTCCCCACTGTTCTTAGAGAAAGCTGTACTTACACATTTAAAATGTTTTATTATATTATCTGCTACATGTGCCAGGTTGTATGTATTTGTATGTATGCCTGTGTGTGTGTGTGTGTGTGTGTGTGTGTGTGTGTGTATACTAGAGGCCCAGCGCACAAAATTCATGCACTGGGGGTGGTGCGGGAGGGGGGGGTCTCTTAGCCTCGCCTGTGCCCTCTTGCAGTCTGGGAGCCTTTGGAGGATGTCCAACTGATGGCTTAGGCCCGCAGTCGGACTTCCTTAGCGCTGCCTGCTGCGGAAGCTGGAGAGGCTCCCGCCACCACCACTGCACTCGCCAGCCATGAGCCTGGCTTCTGGCTGAGCTGAGCTCCCCCTGTGGGAGCACACTGACCACGAGGGGTCAGCTCCTGCATTGAACATCTGCACCCTGATGGTCAGTGAGTGTCATAGCGACCGGTCATCCCGCTGTTTGGTCAATTTGCATATTAGCCTTTTATTCTATAGGATATGCCATTGTGTTTGTTGCTGTGTATGTGTGTATGTGTGAGCATGTCACAGATAGGCACATGAGATGTGATGGCAAGAGGGCTGGGTGTGTCTCAGAGGTCGTGGAAATCCATGAATATGGACACTGAGAGGGAGGGATGAGGGGGCGTATGGGGGGGGTGATAGTTGAGCAGGTGACTTACTGGGGTAAAGGCACATGGGCAGCACCACAGGCCCAGGAGCATGATGGGAGACAGGCCTGGTAGGAGAGCCTGTCCTATCACTTCCTGGCTGTGTGAGCTCCGGCAGATCCCTGTCAGTCTCAGACTCGGCCCCTCTGTTTACAACAGACCAATTATAGCAACTTAATTCTTGAAGCTAAACACATACTATGCGGCAGGCCATAAGAGCTTTACCCTGTGAGGTAGATACTGTCATTGTCCTTATTTCACAGGTGGGGAAACTGAGGCACGGAGAGGTTTGGCCAGGGACGGACGGGATGGGGGGCAGGGTGGAGGGCTGAGGTCAAGGGCCTTGAAGGCCAGGTGTGCAGGGCACTGGCTCTTGGGTGGTGTGGCTGGGACCAACTGTCATGGGGCTGAAAAGCCAGGTGCCCTCAGACAGTCCTGCTGACTGGGGGCCTCTGTGGGCTCAGGACAGCACCACAGTGTGGACTCATGCAGCGTCATATGCAAAAAAATGACCTCGGAGATCCCCCGGAAACTCCTAGCCAGCTATCGACGAACGGAAGCATCTTGCCGCACACCTGCCATCATGTAGGTACCACCCTCTCCGCCTCTGCATCCCTGTCAGGCCCTGGGGACCGCCCCCGACCTCTGATAATGCATGCTCACCTCCTCCCAGCCCCACCCGGGCTCCTGGCCAAGGGCCTCCGCGAACGCTCCCCTGCTTCTGGCCTGCTTGCCCCCTCGTTGACCTTAATATCCGCGCCGCAAGCAAGGTGGGGAGCGGCTTCCTGCATGGCCTGTGGCCCGGAGCAGCCACGAAGGCTCACTTCTGGGCCAAAGAACGTTCTATGCAGCTCCGGAGCCTGCTGGGCTTCCTGGGGGAGTTACGGCCTGGGGGTCTAGAAGTGCAGACTCCAGAATCCAACAGGCGTGGGCAAATCCTGGCTCGGCCACTCGCAGGCTGGTGGCCCTGGTCACAGCGCCCGCCCGCCCACTGCAAAGTAGGTGGTTGGGAGGATGAAAGGAGATCATGTAACTAACATGCTTGGGAGGGTGCCCAGAAGCTGTGACGATAAGATTGGCATCTCTGTGTGACAGGCGAGGAAACAGGATCTCTACGAGACTGGGCAGGGGCCCAGCCAAGCCAGCTCCCCTCGACTGTGGGGACCCCTGGCCCCTTGGCTGCTTGCTCCTCTGGGGTCCCTCTTGGGTACTGCCCAGAGGCCTGCAGCAAGAAGTGGGCCCAGCTGGACTGGCTCAGTGGTTGAGCGTTACCCTATGAACCAGGAGATCACATGCCCAGGCTGCAGGCTCCATCCCCAGTGGGGGGCATGCAGGAGGCAGCCGATCCATGATTCTCTCTCATCATTGATGTTTCTAGCTCTCTCTCCCTTTCCCTTCCTCCCTGAAATCAATAAAAATATATTAAAAAGGGAGTGGCCAGTGGGCCTTTGAAACGCAGGCTTAGCTCAGAGAAGCCGTGCGCTCCCATCGACCGCCCATTGAGTGTGCAGTTGCTGCAGGAGCCCTCTCTGCCGCCCCCCCGCCCCACCCCAGGCTGCTGCCCCGGGCTCCCCCCCCATAGTTGCTTCCATTTCCTAGGGGCAGGGGAAGCAGGAAGCACCGGGGAGGGTCTCAGCCGGGGGCCACACAGGATCACGCTGGCCTCCCGGACAGCTGTGCGCCCAGCACACGGGGCCTGGGAGCGGTCCTGTTACCCTGGAGGCTTGATTTTCTCTGCAAAACAGGGATGAGCGCGGTAGCCACCTTGCAGGAGGGGCGAGAGGCGCAGGCCACGCACGGAGCAAGGGCCGGTCACCTCTCGGCCGTGTCCGGCGGCAAGCCAGCCACACCGGGCTTCAGAGGACGCTCAAGGTTTGGTGGCACTCAGGGCCCCAACGAGGCCACCACATACATGACTGTAGCTGCTAGGTGTCCGTTCAAGCCGAGACACACACACTAGGAGAGAAGGGTAGCGGTCCAGAGGGAGGAGAAGGAGATGGCCCGTGACATCGGTTCCTTTCCAGGGGAAGGAGGTCCCACCAGGGAGCTTGCCAGTCACTCACCTGGTGGCAGAGAACACCTGTCACCGCTCCCTCCAACCAAGACTCCCAGCCCAGAGCCCCCACCTCAATGGCAACGACAATATTAGTAAGATCATTATTCAGCAGTGACGGATCTACTCTGAGCCAGGGGCCTTGTTTTTCTTTAGCTTGCTTAATTTTTTTTCTTTAAAAAAAGAAAGAAGAAGAAGAAGGGCTGAAGAGCATGATTTATTTTGGTAATCCTCACCCGATGATATTTTTTCTATTGATTTTTAGAGAGTGAAAGGAAGAGAGGAGGGGGGAGGGGGAAGAGAGAGAGAGAGAGAGAGAGAGAGAGAGAGAGAGAGAGACATCGATGTGAAAGAGACAAATCAACTGGGATGTGGTCCCCGTCGGGGATTGAACTTGCAGAGGGGGGAGGGGGAAGAGAGAGAGAGAGAGAGAGAGAGAGAGAGAGAGAGAGAGGAACATCGATGTGAAAGAGACAAATCAACTGGGATGTGGTCCCCGTCGGGGATTGAACTTGCAGCCAAAGTACATGCCCTTGACCAGGAATTTAACCGGTGACCTGCAGGTCGGTGCTCTAACCACTGAGAAACCAGCCAGGGCCTGAGCCAAGTGCTTTACAAAATGTTTGTTTTTTATAATCATAAGACAGAAGCAGGGTGACCCACTGGTCCCCGTTTGCCTGGACTCTCACGAAGAGGCCTGCATCCCGGGAACCCTCTCAGCCCCCGTTGTCTGGGTGGTTGGTCACCCACAGAGAGCAGGGATCACAGTTCCACCTCCCAGGCGAGGACACAAAAGTTCCAGGGACTGCCGTCCCCCAGCTAAGCTCATGGCCAGTAGTCAGTGGCCGGGCAGGACTTCCAGCCGGTCTGCTCGCCTGCGGGGCATGGCGTGGCACCCCCACCCCATGGCACCTGGGCATCACAGGTCCCTGTCTTCTGTCCCCGTAGCTTGAAGACCAACGGGAACAGGGAGTTGTGTGCGGACCCCAAGGAGGACTGGGTGAAGAAAGCCATGGAGCATCTGGACCGCAAGGCCGCTCCCTTCTACGGCAACAAGGCCGCTCCCTTGTACGGCATGCAGACCGACCCCAGGATTCCCCCGTCCACCAGGGGGACGGACCGGTCTCCGGCCTCAGAGCCCACGGCCACCGCAGAAAGCAGCAGCCAGGTGGCACGCGGGCCCTCGGAGACTTCCCCAAAGCTGCCCCAGGGCGTGACTGATTCGTGGGGGAACATGTCCGCCCCCACCTCACCGGCTCCGGATGGAGGGCCTTCAGGTGGGCCCGAGAGAACGGAGCTTTTCAGTGTTGCTGCTGCCACCACTGCCACCTCCACCGCCACCACCACCACCGCCACCACTGCCACCACCACCACCACTACCACCACCACTGCCACGTCCTGGCAGAGCTCTTACCAGCCTACAGTGGACCTCGGGACTGAGGGGAAGGCCTTTGAA